AAAAAAAAAAAAAAAAGACAAAAAAGGGGTACCCGTAGGGCCATACGAACAACCGAGCCTCATTCGGAGGAGGCCGCATTAAAACCCATGAGAGGCGTCATGGTGATGTAGTGATCATACCTCTCTCTCTCTCTCTCTCTCTCTCTCTCTCTCTCTCTTTTGTTTTGTTTCTTAAAGCAGTCCCGCTGATTTTAATGAGAAATGTCTAATCCGATGACATCATCCTGATGCTACATATCAAAATCGAGGCACCAGATAAAGAATGCCGATCAGTGTCTCTCTCTCTCACTCTCTCTCTCTCTCTCTCTCTCTCTCTCTCTCTCTCTCTCTCTCTCTCTCTCTTTTCCTTTTCTTTTGTTTGAAAAGCAGTACTCCTGATTCTAATGAGAAATCTCTAATCCGATGACGTCATCCTGATGCTACATATAAAAAACGGAGGCACCAGATACAGAATGCCGATCAGGAATGAAGATCAGCGCGAAACTGTTTTCGACAAAAAAGATAATGGCGATGGCGATAGCGATGGAGACGACAGCGACGGTGATTATAATGATGAGTACGATGACGATAATGATGATGATCATCCGGATGCCAACAACTGCTCTTACATGTTCAAGAAAGGGAGGAAGATCACAATCTAATGATCATGATGATGCTGGTGATGATGATGACGAGGAGGCTGATGATGCAGGTGGCCGTGATGATGATGATGATGATGATGATGATGATGATGATGATGATGATGATGATGGTGGTGAAGGCGATGGCGAGAACAAGGAGGAGGTTCTCCTAAGTTATCGACCGGTAGGTTTGCAGCCTTTGCATCCCGTCGCGACGCGGCTGTCGGGACCCTCGTAGCCGACACCGCTGGGTACCTTGGCTGCGCAGAAAAAGACGCGGGACTTGTCACCCTCAGGTCCAGCGATCGAGACCTTGGAAGACGATTTATCCTTCGCCGCCGTATTCCGATTAAAAGAGGTATCGCTGCAGAAGGTGGTGTTTAGAAACTCCAGGTACACGTGGACAGCGCCGCCAGATTGACCAGCGGAGTTGGAGTTGAAGCGCGTCTTCGAGACGACGGACTCTGTGACTGTGAGGAAGAGAGCGCCTCCGCGCGCTCGAGCGCGATTGGCGGAAAAGTCAACGGCGTGGAAGTTGACTTTGCCTTCCTTGGCGTACACGGCGCCGCCGGCCATAGCCGAGTTGCTCTTGAACTTGGTCGCGCTGACGTTCCCCGAGGCGTCGCTTCCGAAGAAGATGGCGCCGCCGACATCGCCCGCGGCATTCCCCTCGAACGCGCTCCCGCTGATGTCGAAGCTGCCATCCTGCACAAGGACCGCGCCTCCTGCTCCCCCTCTCCCCACCTTGTTAGATCGGAACACACAGTTTTTGACCGTCAATCGCCCTCCATCGACGGCAGCGGCAGCGCCGCCGGATGCGTCGTCGACGGCGCGAAGCCCGGTAAACTCCAGGTTAATCAGAGAGAGAGCGACATGAGAGGAGTAGTTTGCCACGAAACCGCGGTACTTGTTCATGCCGTTGATCACGCAGCGACGCCGCCCATCTTTGCCGCACATCCCCCGCACAGTGAAGCTCGGCCGGGAGACCATCGGCAGAGACGTTGTCAAGTCCACGTTCTGAGTCAGCACGTACGTCGTCACTCGCTCGTCCTTGATAGCTGCTGCTAACAACGCCTCCTGGGAAGGCGGCGGCGGCGGCGGCTGCCTTGGAGGCACCCCGAGATAACGGCCGTGACCCGTGAGCTCATGGCCCCCATAGCCATGATCGCTATGCTCGGCTCTCACCATAGCCATAGCCATCGCTATCCCCAACAGCAGGGCAACCACTAGCCTGTGGAGGAGATTGCGCGAGACAATCGGACCTTCATCACCGGCGGCGAATCGTCCTCCTGAGGCCATCTTCAGACTCGTCGTCCTTCTCCGAGGCTTAGCGTCGAGCAGCGGGGGAGGAGCGGGGTAGGAGCGGAGGAAGAGCGGGCGGGCGGCGGTGGAACAGAGGCGGAAGGGCAGCGGAAGAGCGGTGGAAGAGCGCCGATCTGTCGCTCGTTCTATCCACCCCGCTAGAACACTTGAGAAGGAAGAGAGGAGATCTGATAGATGGCTGTCTGTGTCAATGAGGAGGAGAATCCGGAGATGGCGATTTCAACACTTGACCGATCGGACGGACTGTGATGCCTTATCGGTGTTCGTTGCTCCATCGGAGCGCCGTGATGAGAGCTTTATAGCTATGGCTATGGGCCTAGCTGCACTAGTCGTCATCCGCCAAGAATTCGAATGCATCTGGACAAAAATGATGGCCACATGCATTTAATCAAGATGTTGGCGGATGGCGAGTAGTGCAACGAGGCCCTACGTCGGCTTGCAGACTGCAGTTGTGCCAGACAGGTGGTATGCCTCTGCAGGGTGCGATTCGGAGGGCAGCAATGGGAATGAACTTCCCGCTAGAACATGGCCAGATGCACCCGGACGGAGTTAAAGAGAGAGAGAGAGAGAGAAACGTAGGGCATCGCCACACCACTCTCGAAATTTTGCGAAATGGGAATGAACTTCCCGCTAGAACATGGCCAGATGCACCCGCAACATTTTGTTTTTCTCACATTTCGAGGGTGGTGTAGCGAGGCCCGTAGTCCTTGATAGGTAAGAAGGAAACTGGAGCGTCGTTATTGTACAGAATCTGATCGAGAATGGAAGGGCAGTGCCACGTGGAAGAGAGTTGAAAGGTGAATTATGAAGTAGAACAGGTTGGGTGGTTGTTCGAGAGGTGGTGACATCTCTCATATCTGCTAGACACAGAGATAGGAGTATGTGTGTGTGTGTGTGTGTGTGTGTGTGTGTGTGTGTGTGTGTGAGAGAGAGAGAGAGAGAGAGAGAGAGAGAGAGAGAGAGAGAGAGAGAGAGAGAGCTGGGAGTTGAGGTCAAGCGTTGTGTCCGGATTGTTTGGCATGGGAATGGTACTCGTCAACTTGGCGTGCCGCGTCTGCACGGGAATCGGGATCCGGTTTGCCCCTGTTGCGACACGTGGAGTAGTGAGGGTCACAGCAATTGTGTGCTGCGGGGGGGTGATTGAAAATGCAGATGGAAAATAAAAAATAAAAAAAATGCAGATGGAATCAACTGGCGTAGCTCAGACGGTAACACCCATGAACTGTTAAAATGCAGAGCCGTGTTCGAATCCAGAAATCAGTTGAGTAGCTTTTGAGGTCACCTGGGGTCATTGAGCCAAGACCCACTTAAGACCCTGATTCTTCATTTCTGGCCGCTGATCATCGTAATCTACGGTCAGAAGTTGAGCATTCGGGTAAGTTGGACTTGGCCCCTGGGATGGACGATGATAATTCAAGACCGCCGCCAAAGACAGAAAAGATGAAGCAGATAGGAGAGAGGTGATTTTTTTATTTTTATTTTTGTACAATTTCTCTATACATGCGTGTCATCCTGGCGAAGGTGCCATGCTAATCTTCTCGAAGGGCCACACTGTATACTTCCAGGTGTCCTCAAGGGCCGAAAGGTGTATTCAGAAAAGTACATAGCTTGTTTCTTTTGGAAAAACGAGAAGAGAAAAGTCTGGAGAGATCCGTTGACTCGGCATTTCTTTTTCTTTTTTTGTTTTACAAAAAGGACTTGGGATTTCCAGACCGACGTGTGCTGGTCCGTGCAGTGTTGGCAAGAGAAGTACGCTGTTTTGCCATCTGGGGCCTGCATGTGGCGTGACGAATGTGCAGCTGCTGTTTTTTTTTTTTTTTTTTTTTTTTTTTTTTTTTTTTTGCTGCTGGCCATTTTCATGACGGAGCTTGGTCGTTGCACGTCACCGAACACGAATCGAACTTTAGAAGAGTAGAAGGAAAACGACAACGTCACCATAATGTTGTCTTCATGGGCCTCGCTCCACTTCTTCTTCTTTTTTTTTTTTTTTTTTTCTCGCTCCACTTCTCTCCGTCGCACAACGAGGCAACCAACTGAGGCCCGCCAGTGCTGAGTCACCACCGGGCAAAACCTGGGACAGCTGTCTTCTGTACAACGGGGCTACCTCAGTTGGTACACCCACAAAGACCGGAGTTCGAATCCACGGAGAATCAGAGTTCCCGCTGACCAGATCCCTGCGTCAAGGTTGTCCCCTTGTGCCGCTGCTATTTGTTGTGCAATTGGAGGTTTTACTTCTTAATATCAGAATAAATAAATGAGCAAATCGTAGGGCTGCGCATCCCCCTAAGGTCCATTGGAAAGGGGGTGCGTTAGCGGATGACCTCAAGGTGGCTTGCTGTAACACCCCGGGGGCTGTGCAGGCACTCGGGGGGGACTTGATGAGTACTGCGTGCTCTCAGAAGCATCTATCAATTGGGATAAATCAGTTTATTTCTTGCCTCCCCAATATGATCTCAACAACTTGACTGTTTCAATAACATGGGTTGGCCTCTATTCCGACGACCACAGATTTACCATCAACAACATCAAGTGGTTACAATTCCCAACTACTGGGACACTACTACGGTTCCACAAGTCCCGGTTCCTTTTTTATCAGAGGCCCATCCTTTTCATCATCTACGGCTGCATGTTTTTCCGATCCTTGGATATTATTTTGTTTTCACTTCATCAACAGCCCTGAAGATTCCGTCTACAATCGACAGCGGTAAGTTCCTTGTGACTTGACACTTACCCAGGCTGGAGGACTGCCGCACCACTTTGACCGGTCCCGCTGGCTTGACCAGCTTCTCGCACTGAGCCTATGATGCCCTGTCATGATGGCCGGCTGTATAAGTGACAGGGAGCTGCCCTGTCACGATGACTTGCCCAGCTTCTCGCACTGAGCCTATGATGCGCAACCTCACACCCCACACGATGTCCTGTACTTCGGACGCCGATCAGAGTTGTTAGGAGCGTGGCCGAGGATTTTTGGCCGTGGGGGTTGAGTCACCCAGGCGGAACGGGGACTCTTGTCTCAGCCCGAGGTGCCGGGACGGGGTTCGAGCTGTTGTCGAAAGCGGGTCGCGAGAGAACGAGGCCCTATGGCCCTATCGTCAGCGCTTTCGGGAAAAAGAACGAATGCGAGGAAAAAGAAAAAGGAGCAACGGGGTCGTCGGGAACGGAGTTCCGTTCCCCGAAGCGCATGGTTTGCGTGGCCCTTTCGGGGCCCGATGCTCCGGAGGCGGGTTAGGCCTCGTTGTCAGACTCGTCGAGTCCGTGCAATCGGTTCGTCACGGGTTCGCCCGGGGTCGGGCAAGTCGATGGGACCCAGGTTCGGCGGGGAGCGCACCCGCATTGCGGGAAAGTTCGGGGAATCGGGTAGCCCCTTCGTACCCCAGGACCAACCGCCGCCACGAGCACGAGTCTCCCTGGCGACACCAGTGACACTTGAAACGCGGTTGCCAGATGGCGTGCACGGCAGACCAGGGCAGCGCCGTGAGGTCGGTGTACGACAAGATCAAAGGCGGGGAAGCAAATCGCTCAATCAGCACAAAACCACTCCCGCCTATGTGGCACACTTGGGTCGGGTTATAAAGATAGATTGGTCCGTGCGCTGCAGCAGGCTCCACACTTCCGCATCGCAGTATACGCCATCGTCATCTACGATCGGGAAAGGCGGAAGCGTGCTGTGACGCCCGGGGACGAGGTTCGAGCTCCGGCCACGGCCCGCGCTTCCGTCCTTTGGGTCGAAACCTGAGTCCATGCAAAATTTAACGAATATTGTCGCAGAAGGATGCGCTCAATTCCCTTTCTTCGTCTCTTCTCCGTAACTTCCACCTAAACGCGGTGTCGGGCCCCCTGGGTGGAGATAGATAGGTTGGCTGCTCCGCGCGTACGCGGGTGGCCGATGTCCCTAGAAGTTTCCTCCTCCCCTTTGAGTCCCGACCTGCGCGCGAAGAGAGAGAGAGAGAGAGAGAGAGAGAGAGAGAGAGAGAGAGAGAGAGAGAGAGAGAGAGAGAGANGAGAGAGAGAGAGAGAGAGAGAGAGAGATGGTGAAGGGAGGAGGGCACATATCATGCACACACACTCGCGCGGGCTAAGGGCAATTACTAGTAATCAAGAAACAGGGAGGAAGACGGAAAGGACCGACCCACTCATGCACTCATGTCAGCAATCAACACTCGATACCTTATGGTCATCCGCTCTTACTAAAACATTCACATCCATAGACTTCCATACCTGAGAAGGCATACCATACACTGCCAGTGTCCCCACATTGGGGGACTTGCACACATCACACGGGGCAAAGCAACAATGGAGATTCGGAGAAAAGCTTCGTCTTAGAAATACAGAATTCTCACGATTGGCCTCTTCGGGCCCAATCTCCACCCGGTCCGTCGAGATCACCGACAACCATAGCCACAAGACCCTGCAGCAGTCGGCGTCTGATCTCCACCACCGCTCCGTCCCTCCGACTGCCTCACCCCAAGTCCACCGCTAACTCCGCCACCCGCTGTCACTCCTCCCACCACGAGGCACGTCGATCCTTTCCGGCGCCGCGGGCTTCGTGCATAGCTTGCGTAACTTGCAGCCGAAATCCAAGAGAGTGAGAGGAAGGGTTTGCGAGCATTTATAGCGCTGAAGGCGACGGGGAGGCTGCGCGAAGCACGGGGTGTAGATGAGCAAGATAGAAGAACGACAAAAGTTTCTAGAGGAATCGAAGGCGGCGAGTCGAATGGTCTGCGTGATTGGGGTGGTCGTCCAAGTGGGGTGCGCTTCCCGCGACCACCACATTGCCCCGACCATCCCACTCAGACAACCAATCATTCTCAGGGATCAAACTTTGCTTAGAGGGAAGACGAAGAGACATGCAGGAGGGAGATGCACAACAAGAAGGGAAGATGGCGCGGGGATGCAGAGCGGGATAACAGGTTTACGCTGCGCGCAAAAAATTCGAAAACAGCCACGCGCGCAAAAAATCAAAATTCCTACTCCCGCTAGTCCCCAACCGTTTCTTGAGTTTCTTGACGCGGCTGCTAACTGGCCACACAAAACCCGTCCCTTTTTGAAAGAAAGAAAAAGAAGGAAAGAAAACAAAAGCCCCGTTCTTCCCAACTATCTAGAG